TGCCGGCCGCTCTGCCCGCGCGGGGAGGGGGCGCCGCGTCCTTCAGCCGGTGCCCGATGATTGTTGTGGGCCAGGGCCTTGTTTCCGGGCGGCCCCGGCGCGGTCCCCAGCGAGGCGTGAGCGGGCGGCTCCGAGAGCCCGATCGGCGCCAGCGAAGCCTGAGACTCGAAGCGAAGTGCAGGGAGAAGCTAAGCTGGGCTGGGCTGGGCCGTGACAAGCGAGAGCAGTGTTCCCGGCTCTCCCCTCCGGGGTCTTGGCTGCCGGGATGAGCCACAGTCCTGGAGCTGCTGCGGTATTGACTTCTGTCCAAGCTGACTTCAGACTTGATTCCTCTCCCCCATAGTTAGTTTCTCTACGTGTACGATTATAATTGTCTTAGTATGAACTCTGATCAGTGGAAAACTGCTTCAGGTTCATCCCCTCTGGCGTGGCAGGGAAAACTGCAGTGGAGGACAAGGGGGCAGACCCCCATGCTTTGGTCCCCCTGACCTTTGCTCTTTCTAGCTGTACTACCTGCTGCTTGGCCCCCTCTGCACCTGGCCCCCCCAATCCACTTGCCCCCTGTGCCTTGTACCCATCTGCCACGTGCCTGCCCTCCCCCCATCTGCCCTGCATCAGTACTCAAATCCATGACTAGCTTTCTTGGATTCAAATAAATATGGTAACTACTACCCAGGCAACTTCTCTGTGAATTAACTTTATGTAATGATATGTAATTTACTTAATGTTTTATACAGTGTTTTTTAGATTTATACTATATTGAGGCACAAAGGCCATAATGAAGTTTGATTTCATTGTGAGGAGTGTTGTACTGATCTAGTAAATGACAGTGTCTGCTTGGAATCGTTTGTTATCTAAAACTTTAAGGGTTTCAAAGCATTAATCAGACTGGGAAGGGAGGGGTGCTGTTCATGTTTAGCTTGGATTTTTTTCTTAATGACAAATACAAGTGGCAGCCATGCTGCTCTACCCTTCAGTTAACATTTGAATTGTATCATGGCAGAAAATTTAAATGGGAAGTCCAGCCCAGTATAACTTTTTACAAAACTCTGGATCCTTGCAGCAATCTATTAGGGTTGCAAAATAATTCATTCTGAGGCATTTTACAGTTTTATTGAAAAGAATACCTTTTGGATTCCTGTTGTTTTGAGATTTCCCTGTTATGATGTTTACCTTTGTGTGTAATACTCCATTTTGAGTCCATTCTTTGCATCTGAGAGAAGTTAGGGTGTTCTGTTACAGGGTATGGAACTGTGGTACCTTGCAGGGCTTGTGCCTTTTTTGTTAGCTTATGAAACGTACAGTGAATTAAACGTGTGTGTGTAACCGGTTACTGTATACACACATCAATTACTGTACACACATATACGTATAGATAGGTATCTATATCGTGTGTGTAGGTCTGTATTAGAACGCTGTTAACAAATATATGTGTGTGTGTACAGTAACTGATTATATACGACATGATTAGTTCCTAGGTGGCCTATGGTGGAATGGCTGCCTCTGTGTGGTACGCAGCAGATTAGGGAGAGGGGGCAGGAAGCAGAAAGCCAAGCAGCAAATCAGGCAGGGGAAGGGGACTGGAGTGGCACTTGAGGAGGGATTGGGCTTAATTCACAGGATGTCTGCCAAAAAGGTTGGCCCCCACTGGCCTTTGGAATTAAAATGAATCTTAGGGATCCATTATATACATGATTACAAAGAAAATCAACAGCTTTATTAATGTCCTGTTGCTTCAGGTTTCTGTAAAGCCTTTTAGGTCTTTTATGGAGATAAGCTGAAAAAGAATTCAGTGATCTTGAAAGGTGCAGAGGTCAAAGTGAATAGAGTATTACTGAAATAAAACATTTGCAATGTAATTTACACGTTTGGCATTAGACATGGGTTCCCTCAAGAAACAGCTAATTTTTAAGGGAAAGATAACTAGCTTATTGGAGTTGTACTTTCTAAGGTAGTCGTTTTCAAAATATTTGGACCAGTGGAACATTGTCTGATCCCAAATTAATTGCATATCCTTGTGCAACCTTGTTACTAAAATTTCATTCAGAAGGAAGACTAAGAGCCAGGGATTACTTGCCCCACAGATTCTCAAATTCCAGTTTGGGGACCACTGGTCTGAAGTACTCAACAGTAAAATAAGAGGAAGTGAGAGTTAATTCTTCTTTTGTTAGTCCTGCTACTCCTACTTTGGCAACAATAATTAATTAAAGATTAGCAGAAATTTTAAATTAAATAGGACATTCACATCACAGACTAAAACTAACTATTCTGTTGGATGTGTAGTATTTTAAGTTGTCTTCTACACAATTCTGGGGAGTCTTATGGTACTTGCAAAGAAGAAAAATGAGGTCGTACTTTCTTTTGTTGCTTTCTGAAATATATAGAAGACTTAGGAAAGAATTTGAACATATTTTTACACTTTATTTGTCCCCTTAACTTTGGAAATACCAGGAATACCAAGCCTTGTGTTCCCTGCTTTTACCAGTAGTCTTCTTGGAAGAGACCAGAGAAGTAGATTGGGATTTATCGTCACTTAAGGCTTGCCTATACTATAAAACTCTTGCTTTTAGAAGGTTTGGCAGCAGCAAGGGGGCCTGTAGGACAATCCAATAAGGTACTAGCTGCCAAAGGGCAGCAGCTGTTGGTAGAAAGTGCAGGTGTGTCTACACATGCTCTCTGACAACTTTTCTTGTTGTGGCAGAAGTCTTCTATTGCTTGTGGTGCAGGTGTTGCCCTGTTAGTAGAAAACAGGGTTCTACCACCAGAAAGAAGCTGTGAATGTAGACTTGCTCATAATTTAGCTGCCACAACTTTGCCAACAAAACTATGTAGTTCAGATCAAACCTTTGAAGCCAGACTTAAACCTTGAACAAAGTTCTTTCCTGCCAGTTGCTTTGTATTTAATACCTTTACAACACTTCAGAAAGAGTTTTAAATGGTCTGAATAGAACTAGTGGCTTGGGTTTCTGTCATTTGATATTTCTGATGTCATCTCAAAGTTCTGTAGTTGTGAATAGTCTTCAAGGATATGCAGCGAGCACAGAACCTGAATTTCTTTTGTGGTAAAACACAAAAATAACAAAGCATCCTTTTCCCCCATCCAGATACTTGTAAAGGATTTCCTTGTTCAGATATTCTTTGTAATATTATAAAGAAGTAAATAGTTAAAATTTTCCCTTGCTCAAGCTGTTATTGAGACACTTTACTGCAAACTCCTCTAGTAGTATGATTTGGTTTGTGGGGCTTGTTTCTGGTAAATACCCATTTTGCCAAGTATTTGCCAGAAAGTAAGGTAAAAAAAATGCAGTTTGGACTTAGTGGGGAGTAAGTGGTGAGCCTTAGTTCCTGGCAGCTCAAAGACCACCCCCAAGAAAATTCTTTCCCACACAGACCATTTTAACCTTATTATGGAGAGTTCTGTGTCAGAGGAGCATAATTGTCAAGCACAGTGTTCATTCTAGAATTTTAGATGGGCCAAAGATACTGAAAAAGACCAGGTTATGGAGCAGGGGTGTAGGTTGTAGCTGTGTTGGTCTAAGGACATAGGCAGACACCCAAGGAACCTTGTCTGCCAGATTATGGAGCTGCTTTTGAGAGAAGGACTGGGATCTTCAGCTTCACACCCCTCCATAACTTTTATCAATTGAGTGGCACCCAATTTCAAAGGCTAATTAATGTATTACGGTGCTTATCTCCTTACACAAGGACTTCACGGTGGGGCAAGCCTGAGCCTGACTTATCTGCTCATTTCTTCACACATCACAGCACCCTTAAAAGGATCTGAGGGTACCCCAGGGTATCTCATCACCCCATCACCCTGGCTGAGAGTGACTGGTCTACTGTAGGATCCTGTTATTGAGGCCTTGTTGTTCAGTTTCTTTCCAGTTGGAGTTGATAGAAATCATTACTCACAGTTGCCATTATGGGAGAACTTAGTGTTAGCAAGGAATCCAAATCATGGACTGAATTGACCAGTTGTTCGTGCTGGTCTTGTTCACTTGAATAAGAATCGCACTGTGATAGCCAACTCTTCAAAGTGTTTTTCTATCAGTATTAATTCTGTCTTGGTCAGGTTCAACTTCATCCTGCTGTTCTTCATCCATGTGCTGAACTTATCCAAGCACTGAGCCACATTGGAGGTAGTACCATGATTGTATAGATGTGTGCTCTTCAAGCGCTAAGAGCTGGTAGAGTTATATTCTGATCAGTGTCTTGTAGATGTTGAAAAGTACCAGAAGAGAATTTATCCTCGTGATACCCCAGCAGCAAGGGATCTAGTGGTACAAACGTAGTTTCTCACCACTGCTTGTTAGGTGCAGCCCTTAAAAAAGGACTTGAACTTCTTCAATGCATTTTCTTAGACTCCTGCTATCTCTCTCAGGCGAGACAACAGTATCTAGTGGTTGAGAGTACTGAATGCTACAGAGAGGTTTGGGAAGATCAGAAAGAGAGTCTGCCTTCTATCCACCAGTTCCACTAAGGTGCATTATATTTTGTATCTTTTCCAGGGCTGTGTCTTGAAATATTAGCATCAGTTGCGCAAACTTACTGTTTGTCTTAGGCTAGCTTCCCTGTGAGCTTGCTCAGGAAAGGAAGCCTTGATGCTGAATAATAGCTGACTAGAACTGATGTATTTGTCATGTGTTTTTTCATTATCAGTTGGACTACTACATGTTTGAAGAAAGAAGGGAAGACTCCTTCTCTGAATGATACTTGGCAAGAGTGACACAAGTAATTTGACTGACTTTTAACAAGAGATGTAGTTATCTGTGTTAATCTGAAGTCAAGTAGAAGGCAGAGTAACTTTGTACCTTTTATAGATTAACCAAAATAGATATAGCTGGCATAACTTTTTGTGGGCTGAAGCTCACACCCATCTGTTGCTGGGCTGGCATAACTTTTTGTGGGCTGAAGCTCACGGCCATCTGTTGCTGAGAAAGGATGTGCACAAAGCAGTGTATAAGAAGCACAGAAATTTGAATGCAAGTGGCAGAATGGGAAGGGCAGAGGGGAAGGTGAGCTGCAGTGCGCAGAAGCTTCCAAAATCTATAATATCAACTTTAATTAGTCTATAAGGTGCAAATTTGCCTTGTCTTCTACTTAACTTAGCCATGCACTTTTACCTTCCAGGCTTGTTAAAAACTTGCAAGTCTTGGGCTGAGCCTTTTATTTTTATAGTGTCCAGACATTCCTGATGGGCAAATGTTCTGAACTATGTGACTAAAAATAGGCTGTTTGTTGGTGGATTGGATTCATGTTATTTGGGAACTTCTTGAATGTTGTGATCTTTTTTTCAAAGAAGTCTGATTATTTCTTTCACTGGCATAATATTTGTGTTTTGTTCTGTTGCAGGCTTTAAATTCTTCAGTTTGGAATAGTTTACCATCCTTGAGGTGGAATTTGGCAGCTTCAGTGGAGCTTGGAGAAGGGTTGTCTTGGCATAGTCTTTGGAGGGTTACTTATGCTTTACCTTTATTAGCATTTGGATCAGAAATCCAAATGACTAGCAAATGGGCAGTAGAGTTTGGACTTTTGATTTTTTTGCTGGTTGCAGCATTGCTGAAATGTGTCAGTTTCTTAGAAAGACAATTAAAGGTCTTTCAGTACCATTCCTAGCAGTGTTGGTGTATGTCTTTATGAATCCTCAGGCCTGTAAAAACA